CGCGAATGGGCCGCTGGCTCTCCTGCAGCCGGCCGATTGCTGCGGGGCGGGGATGGGGAGCGAGGGGAGGGGCTGGGCGGCCTGTGCCGAGGCGGCATGGGAGAGAGGGGGCCGACCCACCGAGGCCCGCCCCACTTGAAGGGGTCGCTGTCGGCCATCGACATGAACGCCGTGATCATGTCGTCCGGCCCAGGGCTCCCCCAGTATGCGGCGGGGTCCTCGTAGCACAGCTGCCTTTCCCTTTTGAGGGCCGCCCGGATGCGCTCCCTCAGCGCCTCCCTTTCCTCCCCCGGCGGCGGCTCTCTCACGGACAAGTAGTAGCCGTGCTCCTCTTCCTCCCGAGCTGCCCCAGCCCTCTCCTCGCTGCCTTCTTCCCCTCCTGCTGCTGCTGCCGCCTCGGCCGGCTCCTCCACGTCGGCAGGTGGGGCCGCCCCTTGCTCCTGCTCCTGCTGTTGCTGCTGCAGCAGCAGCTGCTGCTGCAAATGAGAAGAGAAGAAACAAAAGCGACATGTTTCTCACTATGTATTTCCGTGGGCAATATATATATGTGCGGTGTTTATATGCATGCACCTGTCTCTCGTCCTCGGCCTCCCAGTCGGCCCCAGGGCAGATGCGATGGAGCCAGGGCAGGCGTACACTCCTCCACCTGAGTTTATGAAAGACAAGAGAGGCACAGGGCACCAGAAATCGACTGACTTATTCAAGGATATATGCAGTGCGTGTGCCGCGTACTGAGCATACCCTGGCTCGTCGGCGTGCTCCGTGGCCGACGACCTGCCATGCACACGCCAACCGAGGACAAGACAATGCTATTCCGACGAACAACAACACTCCGATGAACAACGTACCAGTTGATGCCCTCCAGAGCGTCTTCACGGTCATCGACATCCATGGCCTCCCACTCCTCCTGACTGCTGCCGTTCATCGGCTCACGCTCACTCGTGCTCAGTCTCGCGCGCACACTAATATTACTCACAACCTCTCTCTGAGACGCCCACAGTCTCGGGCCCCCCAAAAAAACGACTGATGGATCTCAACAGTCGCAGATCGGGCGATTTTGTGAGCCTGGGGCGCTCGGGCGCCCTCCAGGCTAAGAGCGAGGAGCAAGATAGCAAGAATGGATCTCGTATGGACGTACTGTGTCACATCCATCCATCCATCCGTCTATGAGTCCCATATCCATCTGCCCCATCGTGAGGAGGGAGACAAAGCATTACGGTCCAGGAAAAGGAAGGCTGACATGATAGTGCCCGAAGAGGAGATGATCGATAGTCACATTTTATATTTGCAGACAGTGCAAAGCCTGTGTGCATGTCACGTATGGGGTTGCCGCGTAAATGGGACCGATGTGCTAGACACGGGCCTTACAGAAACACGCTGCTTCTGAACTGGACCGTCCTTCCGTGTGTCTCTATCAGTGCGTCGCTGGTGTCTGTCCGTATCAGTCTCGACCGGCACAGGGATGATCAAACAGTCCGTCCGTCATCAATCCATCTATCTCTCTCTGTATCTGACAGTCACAATGACTTTCGACACCTTCCCCAAGGCCCTCTGCAGCTCCTCAGCAGACAGCTCAACCGTCAGCAGCTTCAGCGCATCTTTCCGCCTCTCCTTGTCGACATCCTTGTTGTTCATCGCCGCCAGCCGCCGATAGCTTTCCTCCCTCAGCCCATCCACCGTCTTCTGCACCACTTGTGTCAGTGCCGCCAGGATGGAGTTGCCCAGCACTGACGACACGGCCGACGATGTGCTGAGGCACTGGCGCAGCTGGACGATCTGTGCTGTCAGCTGGATGCAGGTATCCTGCAGCAGCACCAGCTGATAGGGCGTGAACGACCGCACCCGCCGCCGCACCTCGGACGCTATCTGACCCAGGAACACCGTGCTCGACCACGCCAGCTGGTGCGACGGGTCCTCACCACTCGCACACGCGGCCAATGTCGCCTTCTCTGCAGTTGCATCTGCGGCCGTCTCACTCTCATCGCCATCATTCCCCCGTTCCACTCGTCTGGCCTCCATCTCGAGCAGCTCGAGTGCGTCGGAGAAGAGCTCTGGCGGGAGTGGGAGTGGCCGCGCCTTCAGGTAGAGGTCCGCTATCTTGGTCGACTTGAGGTGCCTGTTCCGCTGCGCAAAGTACTCGCGAGCGGCGTTGATGAACGATAGAGGGAAATGGAGAGACGATAACGCATCATCATCAGCACAATGGCTGCTCTTGTGGCTGTTGCCGCCCTTGTGCTGCTGCACGGTGATGGTCACAGCCGAGCAGGTGAGCAGCCACGGCACCAGCTGCAGCAGCATGCACAGCCGACGGGGCGCAAAGTCGCGGAACCCACGCCGAGACGCCTCCTTCACAACACACGACAGCTCGCGACCGAAAGACACCAGCAGATCGGCATCCTTCCTCCACTCAGCCACCCCACGCCCTTCCCCATCTGACTCCATCCTCCTCCTCTTGGCACACCTCCGCTCCACACACACAGCCCCATTCTTGATGGCCCACGCCACGTTGACCAGCGCATTGGGTGAGAAGGACCCGACGCCCCTGCGATGGATCTCTTGCCGAAATGCGTCCCAAACAGCTCCATGCAAGAGGCCGCCCCGTGTGATTGCGGTCATAAGTGTGACGAGCTGCCGGTTGGCCAGCCGACGCAGGAACGGGGGGCCCTGGTAGGGGGAGCTTCTGGGAAGGGGTGCTGCTGCTGTTGGGTCCGCCGTGATGCGGCCGGCAATGGCGACGAGAAGGGGCTTGGCCGTAACGTGCAGACTGAGGATCGCCCACGCGATGGCCGCCACACGCTAAACACACACACACAATACCCACACATGCATCGCATTGCAATCGGTGTGACATGTGTTGTGTGCAAGGGCTGTTCTCTCTCATTGATCTCTCTCACCGACGGTTCGAGTTCGTCGATGCGGGCGGCGCATATCCTCATGGCGTCGACCATGAACTGACGCACCAGCCGCCAGTCCATCCGCGGCTCCCGACCCTCACGCTCACGCACCCACTGCTTACCATCCTCACCCTGCCCCTCAGAACTGCCAGCCAGACCCTCTGCCTCATAAGGGTCATCTTGCTCGGCATCACTGCTGGCGAAGGGGAATAGCTTGGCGCAGCTCCACACGGCACTGGCCAGGTGGTAGAGGTTGACCTGGCTGGAGGCGGCGCTCCCGGGGACGCTCATCTGGTACTCACGCAGCATGTGCACCAGGCTGCACTCGAGGAAGTCACGCGGGCGGAACTCCAGGATGGCGAAGCTCCACAGCAGCACCGATATCTCCCACAGCTGCAGACGCTCCATCCGCAGCAGCCGGGTGGCCTGCGCGGCGATCCTCTCCATCACCAGGCCGTTCCGCACCCGCAGCCGCGCCATGCTCCGTGCAATCATGCACAGCTCGTGACTGCGCAGCGTGTGGATCTCCCTCAGGAGCCTCTCAGAAAGAGCCTCCTGGGCCGCCCTGATGATAGGTGGCGACGCGCGGCCGTTCTCGCCAAAGGCAACAAGACAGGCGAGGAGGCACCATGGCTTGATGTCGGATGGGTGGCGCGTGAGCAGTGATGATGCGATTCGGTCCCATGCTGTGGAGGAGGGGCTGATGGACGCCTTGGAGAGGCCGGTGAGCAGGTTGCTCAGGCCGTGGTCAGATAGCCGTGATGGTGAGAGGTCGACCTCCTCGCCGACGCGCTCGAGGAATGCCTGATGGCAAACAGGTAAACGAGGGAGGGGGAATCGCGCGCGAGTCTGTGTAGTGTACAATACCTACTTACCATGAGCATGCTTGTGGCGCCGCTGCTGCCTTGTCCATAGCCCTTCTTCTTGCCGTGTAGGTCGTGCCTCCAGGCCAACAGCCCCACACCAACTACCACCCACGCCACAGTCTCAGGGTCCTCTGCTGCCCAGTCCCTCCCCTCCCCCCACTCGGCAATCCGCTCGAGCAGCTCCTCGACCACTTTGCCGTGCTCGAATCGCCAGGGCCTGACGCCCATGGATCCGCCCTGTGGCAGCGACACTCCCTCCGGGTAGCTCATGACACTCATGGCCCACAGCAGCATCCCCAGCTGCTTGGTGGGGAGGGAGGGGGTCAAGTGGGGCAGTGCCAGGCCCGCCAGCCGACCGACAAGAGTGACGTTGTGCACACCAGCTTTCGACAGGGCCGTGGCTGTCTGGACAATGGCATCTGTGACGTCGGGCGGGCAGTGGTCGACCAGCCTCTGAGAGAGCTGCTTGAGCAGCAGGTCGATGTACATGCCTTCGTGCCTCTGACGCCTGCGAGAGGGCGGTGATCTACTGGTGGCCGAGCGGATAGCTGCGAGGCCGATGGTGGCCTGAGTCATGTCTTTGATGCTGAGGGCGTCCAAATCTCCGAGCACCTCAGCAGAGAGGCGGTCCGGCACCTTGCTGTCGTCCCACTGCAGCATGCCCAGCGCCCACAACAGTGTACATCCCCGGCTGCCGGCAAAGTCGAGAGGCGTGTCGTCCAGGTGCTCCACCAGCTGCCGCTCGATCAGGTCCACCACACGGGCATCACTCAGCCACTTATGAGCTCCTCTGCGGCCTTCGCGGGACGACGTGGCCAGTCGGGCGAGGGTGGTGATGGCAGCCGACACAGTGGGCGCGTCCAGTGACGTCCTGTTCGCAGCCTCGCCAATCAGATCAAGCAGGCTCTCCACACTCGAGCACCGATGCAACGGCAAAGACGGGCGGCCCCGCGATGGCCGAGTGACGCTGTACGCCTTGTCCTTGGTTTCCTCAGGCAGCTTGACCACGACCCGCTGCCGCACCTTCCTGACCGGGCTGTCGGTTGACAGCGGATCAACAGCTGCTGACGCGCCACGGCGAAGATCCACCTCCACTGCGGCTGAGGGAAGGGACCTCATGTGTGTGACGGCATCATTTGGCAGCCGAGGGAGGGGATAGAGCTGACGAGGTGGAGCGGACGACACACGGTTGAGGGGAGCGACGACGAAGGCCGGCCTGGTTTGTCGATGCTCGGCAGCATGCACATAGATGTGCAGCAGAGGGATGATAAGAGGGTAGAGAGGCTTCATCTCCAGGCGTCCGTATGAATCAATCACCGCCTCTCTTCAAGCCACGACACAGAAACCAGCATGAGGTACCGCATCATCAGATCTTCGATAAAACCGGCAAGATCTTAGAGCACAGCTTATCGACGGCGAGCACCTGATGCCTCGCTTCTCGGAACGTCCGCAAATGAAAAAGCTCGCAAATGGATCGGATTCCGTGAAACCGCTCCGTCGGGAGCAGCGCTTCCAAACGAAGATCACATCGTCGCTAGCAACTTGGTGTTCTCCTGGGTTGATTCATGGCACGGGCGGTGGGAGCGGATATGAGCTGCATGAAGGGATGCCTGGGCAAGCGCAAGGTGGCCGACATGCAGGACACTGCCAATGGATCAGACGCCGACCAACACATGCAGCAGGCAGGCCCACGAGGATGCATCTGATGTGCAATGCGATGCACATGTGGCCGCATGTGATTCTCCCTTGTGTGTTGCGGCTCGCCTGGCAGGCCGCCGTAGTGTAAGACTGGGCCAAGCGTGACGAGTATGTGGAGCAGCTGCATACCGACCCTGGGTTTGGGTATGTGGCGGCCGAGGTCATGTGCGGCCTCTCCAAGTGAGATGGATGGATGGATAGAGCCACGGTCTTAGGCCCCCGTGTCTCTGTCATGGTTGTGTGTGCAGGCGTGAGAAGGAGCTGCTCAAGGTGGGCAAGCTGCCAATGGTAGCTGTCGACGCCGTCGTCAAGAAGAAGGGCATAGTGCTGGGTGAGAATGTGGGAGGTGGAAACGAATGCCGTCGCATCAATGCGGTGTGTGTGGCTGCGTCTGGCTTGTGTGGACAGGTGACCATGAGCGGGCCAACAGTGTGGGCGTAGATCTGGGTGAGGAGCTGATGCGCAAGCTCCAGCGAGACGTGTTGGACATGGGCAACAAGTGAGGGAGCCATCCCACCCACCCACACAGGAAGATTCTATATGTTCTCGTGTGCGCGTCATGTGTGCGCGTGTGCGCGCGTGTGTGTGCGTGCAGGTGAGGGGGGAACGGGACCTGCCAACGTCTGCCTGCCTGCCTGCCTGCCTTCCTGCCGTCCTTGTACAGAGCCTGTCTGTCTGTCTGTCTGTCTGTCTGTCTGAGTGGCAACCGACATGGCTGATGAATCGCATTCATGTGGTGCCTGTCGTTGTACGCCAGTTTTTGCGTCGCTGCCTGTGTGCTTACTTGAGTACTCAAGGTGACGTAGCTGAGGAATTGCTACAGGGAGGGACGTACTTACTCTGTGTCTGGGTGTCTGGGTGTGGTGTGTATGGCTGTAAGAAGGAGCCTCTTCCCTCTCTATCTGTCTGCCTGCCTGCCTGCCTGTCTGCCTGCTTTATCGCGTCATTTCGTTAGTTACGTGGGTGTATTCTATTTTTGTGTGTGTGTGTCCTGATTGACTGATATACATGGGCAGGGACTAATTAAAGGGAGGGAGCTCGGATCGTTGTCAATGCTGTTCACTTGAGTTGAGTCGAGTCATTGTCGCGTCAAGGCGCTCACACTCAGTCTCCACACAACGGACGGACAACGCACACACCAGGCAGGCTGCCATCGCCAAGCTCTAACGCCCACACAAACGCGCTGCACGCTGGTCGTGCACGTGTGTGTGTGCATGTGTGTGTGTGTATGTGTGTGGAGAGCGCGACGTGTCCGTCCGAACGATTGCGCCATTCACGCAGCCAGCGAGTATGTGGATGCAGGGGGTCTATACAGTGAAAAAACAGATAGATGGAAGGATGGATGAATCACGGCGTGCATAGCACCTGCCCACCATTCACCACTCACCATTGACCATGCATTCAGTCACAAAACCTCAACCAACATCAGTGTGTCTGTCGTGTTGAGAGCACAGCACAGCACAATAAGGCAACCAACCGAGCCCAACCAAGGTTGGCTGGCCGTGAGAGTGAGAGAGTGAGTGAGTGATATGTACACCAACCAACCACAATGCCCTTGCCTTGTCTGCCCCTTCACGTCACGCACCCACTCGTCTCGTCCATCCATCCATCCATCCATTCACCCACACTCGTGTGCCCATCCATTCGCCCGCCCTCCCTCCCTCCCCGCCCAAAAAGATAACACAAGCGCCGACCGACCGACTGCACTTCATTCGCAGGCAGCACACGGCATCCAGGTAGGCAGGCAGGCAGGCAGGCAGACCACCACAGGTACCACACGCCACGCCCGTCGGTCACTTTACTTGATGCGTGTGATGACTTGGGTGGTGAGCCTGACGAGGGCCTGGTTGGCGGGGGTGTCGGGGAAGCTCGACAGCCACTCCACAGCCTGACTCGCATGCCAGAGAGCCAGCTCACGGGTCTTCTCCAGACCCTGCACACCACACGCAAGGCAAGGACGGCAGGCAGAATGGTATCCGATCCGTCACCAGACCTCTGCCCTTCCCCATGTGTGGCACTGACTGACCGATGACTGTTTGAGCAGTTTGTGTGCGGTCTGCACGTCGCCCTTGTCCTTGAACCGCCTCCGTATCAACGGGCCCATCTCGGGGTACTCCTCGGCCGCATACAAGATGGGAGCCGTCGCGTGGCCATTCTTCAGATCCGACAGAGCTGGCTTCCCTGACATATATCAAATCAATACACACACACACACACACACAGATAGATGTGTGCTTGGTGCGGTGCAGGCTGGCTCGCTCGCTCGTTGAATGGCTGGCTCACCGAGGAGGTCAGCTGATTGTGTGAAGTCGAGGAGGTCGTCGACGATCTGGAAGGCGAGGCCGAGGTGGTAGCCGAACTTCTCGGCAGCTATCACCTCCTCGCTCTCCTGCCCATAACCACCTGCAAGGCAGTGAGAAGGCAAACAGGACGGAACCCGACACGGATGGCTCAGGCAGGCAAGAATCCCTCAGTGGTGTGGTGTGCCGTGCCGTGCCGTGAGTGTGGTCATTCATGCTGACTGAGGAGTGCGGCTGATTTGCAGCTGCATGCGATGAGCGAGGCAGTCTTGAAATAAGACTTTCGGACATACCTACACACACACACACACGCAGGCAGTCAAGCCACACGAGTGAGTCATCAGTCCATCCACATGTTTCTGTCTGTCTGTCTGTCTGCCTGTGTGCTGTGCTGTGCATACCAGTCGAATGACTCAAGGTCAGTGGGCTGCGCCTTGGCCTGCATGACCTCGCCAGTCACCAGCGCATCCAAAGCGGTCGCCATCACCTCTACCACCTCAACTGACAGACAGGCACACCACAGCAGCAAGCAAAGAGAGAGGGGTGGGGTGAGATGCGGCCACCGAACCGACAGCAGAGGCACGTGTGGGGGAGGATGCCACTCACTGGCATACATACCATTTCCCAGTCTGGCCAGCAGGACGGACGCACGTGCGAGGAGAAAATCGCCAGCTAACACAGCAACTTTGTTGCTGAAGGAGAAGAGAACGAAGGGACACTCGTGTGGGGCATAGCATGGGTGGGTATGTTCCGTGGTGTGGGGTGTGTGGTTGACCTGAATAGCTTGTGCACGGCGTCGCTGCCCCTCCTGGTCTCCGCCTCGTCCAACACATCGTCATGAATCAAAGATGCAGTGTGGATCATCTCGGTTATCTGACCCGCACAGCACACACACCATGCCTATCTCTCTCTCTCTCTCTGATGTGTTGTGTTGTTCGCTTCCCTCTTGACCTGTCCGAGTCTCCTCTGCCTCTCGTAGACGTCTTCATCTCTCGGCTCGCCGATGCGCTCCACTGCCTGGCTCATGAGCATCACTATGGTGGGCCGGAACTTCTTGCCACTAGCCAGAGAGAAAAAGTGCGAGGCCGCCAGCTTCAGCACGGGGTGGTCCGTGTCCACCAGCTCCCGCACGTCGTCCGCCAGCATGTCCAACTCATCCTTCACCTGCACGCCACGCAAGGCCACCATCCATCCATCCACCCCACCCATCGATGAATCAATCGACAGATCAGATCGCAGCCAGCCTCTGGTACCTACCTGGTCAAATGGCGATGGTCCAGGTGGTGGGTTGAGCACGTCATACGTCGGCCTGGCCACCACCGATGCGCTGGCGCCTCCCTCCTGCACCTCGGCCGTCACAGGAGCACCCTCACTCTGGTAGCTCAGCTCCGACAGCCGGGAGGCGATGCGCGCCTCGGACTCTGCCCCGGCCCCATCGCGGATGGATATCTTCTGGATGACCTTGGACACTGACGGCGGCACAAACAGGGGCTTCCTCGTCGAGGAAGACAACTGCCTTCTCGTCGCCATGGGCGCGATAAAGCCCTGTGTAGCGGAGGAGAGCATCGATTGCCAAAGGGGGGCGGGGATAGATGTGGGTCGGCGTCTCATGTCGGATTCGCTGATGCTGCTGCTGCTGCTGTTGCGCCTGGATGTGCGACGAGAGCGTCTTCCTCTTCGCTGCTTCTGTGGGATGAAGGTGAGTGGGAGATGGGTGTGCTGGTGCGCGGATTGGGCGAGGACCGATGCGAGGACGACAGCTGGCAGAGGGAGGATGCAGGCGACAACGATGGCAAGCGAGATCAGAGCAGGTGAGTGAAGCAGCTGCATTCTCATGCAAACACGAGGGCGGCGGGGTGAGGCGGTGAGGCTACTCCATTCTCAAGGCTGAGGGCACCCAAAGAAGATCTCCGCTTCCTGCCTCTGTAAGCTCGCGGTCAAGCTCGCATTTGCCGCCAGCGATCTCCCGCTTTGGAGCATTCCAGGAGCAGCCCAAGCAGCCTACAATAAGGCATTGTGATTTGCTTGACGAGATCTCATTAATCTGTCCCAGGCGATGCTGCTACGGCAGGCGGCAGCGACGGGCCAGCTTGAGGAGCTGGAGGCTGATCTGACAAGCGTAGTTGAGCACATAAATGACCTCGACGACAAAGGTGAGCGGCCAATTCACGGCATGCCACTGCAGTATGTGAGTGATCTGAGAGATCTGAGAGATTCATTGTTTGTCTGTTGCCCTTCTCTCTGTTTGTTTCAGGGTTCACGGCCTTGTGTGAGAGTGCGCGAGAGAAGAGGCCTGCATCGACGATAGGTGGGCTGAGCTGTCCACTAAAGAGAGGAACTGTGTGTGCATCTTCCCGTCGTATACATATGGTGTATGTCATGTCATCCATCCATCAGCCTGGCTGGTGGAGCACGGTGCCGACGCCAACATCCCTGACCCACAGATGCAGACGCCCCTCCACTGGTATGTACCGTCTACATATGCAGCCGGCGCCAGGCCGTCAGACGATGCTGTGTTCGCGTGTCTTGGGTGCCTCTCCTGCAGGTCCTGTCAGCACGGTGAGAGTGAGAGCGCATCAGTCCTTCTGAGGGCGCCAGGCGTCGATCCTTCGCCCAGCGACGCCATGGGACGCACGCCCCTCCACTGGATGTGCCAGCAGTGAGCAAACGCCACAGCCGCACGCAGCCGTGGTTCGTGATAGTGACGATGGTTGGTTGCTGGTTCTTTCTTTCAGCGGTCAAGGAGACGTTCTTTCCTTGGCGATAACCAATCCCAAATGTGACGTCAGCAAGAAAACAAAGGTAAGTGAACTGGGCCAACCTGACGGACACGACCATCCATCCACCCACCCATCCATCCGTCCAGCCATCCAATTGTGTGTTGTGTGGCATGGTACCAGAGTGGGGACAGCGCTCTTCATTGGGCGGCGGTGAGGCCATAGGACACACGAGGACCAGCGTGCTGTTGTGACAACTGGCGGCATGGATGTCTGTTGCAGAGGGCTGGTGCGTCAGAGTGCTGCCACACACTCATCCAGAAGGTCCCCACGAAGACGGCAGGGATGCAGGGCGACGCGACTCACTCTGATTTGATCTCTTGTCTTGTCAGGGCCTGAAAGTGACGGACGCCAACACACGAGGCGAGACGCCCGTCGGGCTGGCGAAGAGCCACGGCATCCACACTCAGCTTGAAGGTGAGATGAATGAGATCATGAATGCATGACACACACGACGCCGTCAGCCAACCATCTCTCTCTGTGTGTCCTACAGGCTGGCAAGAGGAGTACGATCGATCGTATGGCGTGCATCACGGATCGGTCTTTACGGTCCCTGATGAGAACGGGGCACCTGCTGCTGCTGCTGCTGCTGCTGGTGTATCGGCCGCTGCGGGACAGCCCAAGGCGGCCGCAGCCAAGCCAAAGGCCAAGATGAAGATCACCCTCAAGAAGAAATGATGTGACGAGTGGCTCAGTGATTGCGTGGTGAGTGGTGTTCACGTACTGGGCACCCTGGCGTCAGTGGGTGTGTCACCGCGGCCGGTGGGTGGAGTGTGTGAGACCGACCGCATCTGTCGATACATACAAACCAAGGATGCAAGTACATGAGCAACCTGAAAGACCGCACACACGCAGATGGTCAGAGTCGGCTGGTCTGTCCAACGAATTCAGTGCAATGCATCATAGACACACACACGTCACATCAGCCATCGTCCCGGCCAACACACGTCACCAACAGGCAGGATGTAAACGAGCGCCACACCTGCCCACACGTGTGCACTGCCCCACCGCCCCGCCCCGCCCCTCATGCATCTATCGGCTGTCGTCAGCTCCTCCAGGGGCATCATCGTCTCGAACTCGATCTCTCCCACCACCCCCACGCCGACCGCGAAGAGGACCCCCATCGCGTCCGTGAGGCAGGTGTGCTCCATGCCGCCGATGTGTGTGTGGGTGGGCGGACGGGTGGGATGCCTCCAGATGTGCGTCGATTGAGGGTCGGACGGCGAGGGATGTCAGCAACCGTCAGCAGAGACGCCGCCTGCGCCTCACACGGCCGACAGTGGATATAGGATGCGGCGGCAGCCGCTCACGTTGTCCAGCCGGTCGGCGTGTCGCACACGCACAGAGTCGCTCCATCCGCCCTTGCTGATGTCCCTCGGACAACTCCTCTACCATGACCCATTTCCACCACTCAAGCGCCACCGTCGTCCCGATGGGTGCGGTCACGGGCCATCCGCTATGGCAAACTCGTCGTTCTTCTTCACCAGCAGTTGCTGCTCTGTCGCCGTTGCAGGTGATATGGGTGTGTCGGTCTCAGCCCCACCCGCCAGAATGCCTATCCCCCGGACAGCACCCCACCGGCCTCCTTGTTGCCCCCACCCAGTATGCCGCTCTCCTGGAGTCGATGAGTGAGGGAGAGGGCGGTGCTGTTGACAGGGGGGTATCCGTAGAGCTGTGGGGCGAGGGGTGTGAAGTGGGGGGTGAAGAGCATCTTGGCGCAGGCTGCACCACTGCTGCGTTGATATCGTCATCGTCCTCCTTACCCTCATGGTCATCCACACCACATCCATCGATGTGGCCACCATCACCACTGCCACCAGCGCCGCCCCTGAGGGCCAGGCCACCACCACCGCTTCCATGTGCATTGTGTTGGTTGCCAGCGGGCGCAGGGGGCTCAGTGCCAGGCACGTCAGCATCTGGTCCAGCTCCCCAGTCATGCAGCCATGGTGTGGATGGCGTCGCGGTCGTCTTCCAGTGCCGAGTGAATGGCATTAATCCTGTGGTGGCATGGGGAACATGGCGAGCCGTGACGGCGCCGGGGAGGGCTGTGTGGCGGACGTCTCGACAGATGGATAGATGGGCGGGTCGCCTTCGTCATCCGAGTCGTCGTCTCCTCTCCTCCGTCTCGCTCCTCATCCACCCTGTCGGGCCCGGCCAGGAATGCCGACCGATACTGGTGGTCGAGGGCACCTGCCCGGACTGCCAGCCGGAACTGACTCTCAGCAGACGACCTTCTTGCTCCCATTCAACACGCGCGAGGGCGATGAGCGCGGGGTCGCTGCAGTCGGGTGGCCGACCGATCCCAGGGATGCGACTCAGCCACGTGCTGTCGCCCTCTCGGTGCTGCGATTTCCCTAGCTGATTCAGCAGCCGCTCGGTGAGCATGTCGCGGTTGGCGGGTGGGACCTGCCACTCAGGATGCGGGTCCGGCAGAGCGAGCAGAGGCAAATCAGGTTGATCTTCTCGCTTCACCCGCACCGGCCTTCCATCCTCCTTCTTGACCACAATAGCAGCAGAAGCTGCAGCAGCAGATCACGGCCCATTGTCGCCCTGCGGTCTGCTTGCCCCGTGGTCGACATCTGCCGGCCGGCTGGCCGGTGTGGCTGCGATGGATGCGGGGCGAAAACATCGCCCGAGACACGGTTGCCCGTCCCCATCGTGTCTCTCTATCCTCTTCTCCAGGCAGAGGTCAGGAGACAGTTGACATTCTTCTGCTGCAACAGGTCGCGGGTGGACTGCTTGAGGCGCTGGCGCTGAAGGCGGTCGCAAAGCAGCTCAGCGTCCATCCATTGGTAGTCCACCCAGCGGCTGTGGTCGAAGGGGTTGGCCCCAAATGGCTTGTCCATGCCCGATAGGCCCTGCTGCCGCCACTTCTGGTTGCACTCGGAGTAAATGGAGCCTCGAGGATGGGTTCGCTCCTGGGGGCTCTTGCCGGGCTCGGGCCACATCAGCAGCTGCTTGATGCGCTCCACCTCGACGAATTCCTTGCTGGCGGTCAACACATCCATGGCTGCACGCACACACACACACACACATACATACACACGCAGCAAGGATATAGACAATTCCTGCGTGTATGCTCATTACATCCATCCATGAGAGGCTGTCTCCCTCTTTCCCACCTGACTTCAGCCGTCGGAACTTCCTCAGCTCTGACTGCTCCGAATAGTGGCGCGCTGTGGCCCTAGTCTTCTTCTCCAAGTAGTAGACCTCCTGTAGACTGAGCTCGTCTTCCATCTCATCTCATCCTCCATCTCCATCCAGCCCAGCCCTGCTCGAGGTTCTGATACTGGTCACTGAAACCCCTGTGTGACAGACAGGACACACGTGTGTGAGTTCGTGCCCGTCAGCGAGAGAGAAGGCGGGCCTACTTGTGGGAGAGGTCTTGTTTGGATACGCGCCACATCTCCATGTAACCCGCCTCGCTCACACGTTCCTCACTGTCGCACACACATACACATACAGCAACAAGAGGAGCAAGCCGGTGTATATATGTATGTATATATATATATATATATATGTGTGTGTGTGTGTGTGTGTGTGTGTGTCAGTATGTGCCTACTATCGGTCTTCGATGAGCACCCCCTCGGCATCCCTCACGTCCTCCTCTTCTGAGATGTCCTGGGCCTTGCGCTTCCTGGACCGCGTCGTGCGGACGAGAGTCTCGCGCGTGACGATGGGGCTGACTTTGCTCTGGTGGCAGAGCGGGCACTGGCACGCTTGGCGGGCCTTGGTGCGAGCGATAAACGCCTGGAGATGATGGAAAACAAGACACGGATGCCAAGGATCAGGTTCTCTCTGCACTTAAGTGTCTGTGCTCACTTGCGCAATGCAACCAAAACAGAATGCATGACCGCAGGACAGTATGCCCTGACACACAACACACAAAGGATGCAGGGACATCCTAACATATCAACACAGCACAGTTGGTCTCACGCACCTTATCGGTATCGTCTCTCGCCTCCTGGCATATGCAGCACTTGGCGTCGCCACAATGCCCTTCTGAGGAACCTTCTTGCGGTCCGTGCCCTCCCTGCGCCTTTGTAGGCGCCCTCCTTCCCTTTCCCCCACCGGGGCGTATCCCAGCCTGACTCCTCAGAAGCCCTCGCTGACGCGCTGTGCCGGCAGCATCCGCACACTGATTCATATTGGAAGACTGTCGCAGGGATCGCTCTACAACACTTGGAAAGCTTTGAAATTTTGTCACCAACACATGCGAGCCGAGAACTTGAAGGTGCCTCGTTCACACACAAATTCGGAGTTGCCTTGAGCCCCCATCCATCGTGTGCATCTGACTCACATTCTACCTCAGTCCCGCCTCAATCCCACCATCACTGACTCTGAGCGCCATCATGGACCCCTCTGCTGCTAGCTCTGCTGCTGATGACGTCGACGTGCCCATGTCGGTGCAGATAGCGGAGATGCGCAAGCAGAGAGGCCTCAAGGTGCGCAAGGGCAAGAAGGATACCAAAGTCAAGGCTGGGGGCGTGAGCAACAGTAAGTGCATCATGCTGAATCAGACACCGAATGAGACCGTCAACGAGACGTGTAATTTATCCATGATGATCATGATGATCCATCCGCGTGTGTGTGGGTGTGGGTGCAGAGGTGAAGAAGGCCAAGCGAGGCAGCAAGGCTGGCAAGCCGAACCCCTTCAAAGTCCTCACCAGCGCGTCGCGTGTCAAGCGTGACAGTGCCGGTCAGTCAATGGCGGCTAAAGTGCTGGCGGCCGACGAAGATTCGGATGAGCAAGACGAGCCCCCCCGTGGCCATCGCACCAGCCCCGGCCGCAACCGCAGTCGTCGTGCAGCGGACGATGAGGATGAGTGGACGCCCGAGGACGAGGACGACGAGCAGGGCAAGGAGAAGGGGGGAGAGGAGGAGGGAGAGGGGTTGGAGGGAGGAGCAGCGTCGCTCCCGCCGGCCATAGTCGAAGAACTCTGCAACATGGTGGTCATGGGTACGCATACGGACACACACAAAGTGGCGCATCCATACAGTTCATGCATCATTCGCTCCTGTCTGTGTCTCTGTGTCCGAAACTTTGTGTGGGTGCAGGCTACGACTGTTTGTTCTGGAACGTGGCCGACGACGCCAAGGCATGCCCAACCAACGCTCACCTGCGCACAGACATCATGGTGTTGTCCTTTCGTGTGTGTGTCAGTTTCATCTCCGCGACATGTTGGTGATGTTGCACGGCAAGGTCTTCCAGTGCACGTGGGAGGGGAAGTTCAACGTCCTCAAGGTTCGCGTCAAGGACAGCGACAATACCAAGGGCCGGAGGGAGGACATCGTGCAGGCCCTGCTGCAGATGAGCGACGAGGAGGTCCGCTACTTCGACAGCAACCGCAAGCGATGTGTCTACAAGGTGAGCACTAAGGGCTAAGGGGGCCGTTGGATGGAGGAGGTATACAATTGTGTGCAGGTGGAGGTCACAAAGGCCACCCGCCTGGAGTGCGAGAACAAGGCGGCAGAAATGTGGCACGGTACGTGAGGCCGACTGATGAACGCACCTGTGGGTGCAGCCGGCGGCTTCGACCCATGCCACGTGTGTGTGTGTGTGTGTGCGCGCGTGTGTGTGTGTGCGTGCAGGCATCATCAACCCCGACAAACTCCGGCCCAGCACCCGCAGCTCGTGAGATACCTGGCGTCAAGTAGATAAATGACTGAGTGAGCGATGCGATGCATCGGTTGGTTGGTTTACCGCATTCATGGACTGACACAAAGAGATGGAGGGGGGGATGACTGGATGGCAGGCAGTGTACATACGTCGTGCGGTGCGCTGTGTGTTGGTCTGACGCCTGTGTGACGGCAGACGGAGGACAGATGCATACGCACTGAGCAGTACTGACTGACTGACATGGTGACTGGTAGGACAAGTCGATGACGGGTGCATGGATGGATGGATGGATGGACCAACTGATGCGTGTGAGCGGTCACATGCAGCTGTGTGTGTGCCAAGGTCACACACACACACACAGCCGTCAGTGACGAGACACACATGGATCAAACAGACAGACAGACAGCATGTGCAGCTGCATGGCTTGGATGCTGGCCCGAACGGCGAGAGGAAAGGACCGATACGTTAGCCATTCACGTAACCTTCATGTACATACATGTCTGTGTCCAAGGTCTCAACACACACCGCACCGCACCGCACCGCACTGCACTGCACTGCTTTATAGACACCCACAGCGGCCGTCATCCTATCCCACACACGGCCCCAGAAGACGGCATGCACACAAGTGCCACGTCCCAAAACACACACTGATATGTACAAGGCGACAATCAAATCAGCCCACCCACCCACACGCATCGTATACCAGCATCCACCCGCTCTCATCCATCATTCGGCTTCCTCTTTCACCCGCACCAGCTCTCCACCCTCTTTCTTGACGACTGCAGCAGGAGCAGCAGCGGCAGCACTTGCTGGCGGCCCATCGGCGCCTTCCAGCATTGCCGGCTGAGAGGTGCTGCCTTCCAGCTGCGGCGGCGTGGTGCCGCGGTGGATGAGAGGCTGCAGGGGGCAGGATCCTGAGGATTCCTTCTGCAGACGGCCGTTCTTGGCGCACGGGACGCAGCACTGAAAACGGAACCACCACACACAAACAGACAGGAGACACACATACACGACTGTCTGTGCGGTGCGTGAGGAGGGGAATCTTCATTCACCTTGCCGTGTTCCACCAAGAGAACGTGCAGCGAGTGCTTGATATCGTCAGGCACCCTGGTTAGCCGGGTCACACACAAACATGAACACATGATCTTAGGCTCGCAGTGAGTGTCATACACACAACTGACCTGCGATTGAGGTGTTGGTACGCTTGTACGCGTGTTGCAGACTGGGGCACCCAATGCAGCCGCTGCGCGATATGGAGCACGTGGGTGTCCACGGGAAACTCCGAACGACCTGGAAAAGGGAGATCAACCGGCAGCTATAGCTAGGGGCCACGTCCATGGGCCTGCCTACCCAGTCCGAACATCATGACACACGCGACGGTCTTGGGACCTACACCATTGTACCTGACCGATCAGTATACGAGCACTTGTGTAGTTCCATTGCTGGCCGCTCATTTCGTTGCTGCATACCTCAGGAGCGCCTGCTTGACCTGCTCGTCAGGCACGCCCCTCAAGTGCTCCAGCGACGGCTCGCCAGCTACCTGAACAATACACCAAATTGGGAGATGGATGCGGCTGTTGCTGCTTGCCGCGCTCACCACATGTCCCCCATCGACTACAGACTGCAGGATCGCCTGGATGCGCTTCACCTGGAAGGAATAGCGACAGCCATCCCCCTGTAAGTGTGCCGACGCCCTTGCTTCTCGCGTATCCACCTTTGTATGGGCCAGGCCGCCCTTCTGTATGGTGGCCTCGACGTCTGCAGCGGGGGCATCGAGCACCGACCGCCACGTGGGGAAGGCAGCCTAAATGACGGATAAGCCAGCAGTGAGACCAGCTGATCGATGGATGGATCGGTCGCAGCAAGTGATGCTGACCTTCAAACTCTGGAATGTCTGTTTCGATAGCTTGTCGGTGGTGTTTTGCGAGAGCATCACACGCACCAGCATGTCCATCACACTACAGTCCTGAAGCACACTCACACATGCCGCAAAACACACAAGCCGGTGTTTCCAAATGCTCAAACGAGTGAGGTGTGGTGTGGCATCTCACCCTTCCCTTGACGCGGTCGCCGCCATGAAGATCCCGGAGTGCCCTCCCGACAGCGTAGCACTCGTCGGCAGAAGGCCGCCGAAGATTCGGATAGGGCTCCGCAGCCACCAGCTGACCACTACCCTCATCCTCATCAGCACTGACCGCTTCCGTCTCATCCCGACCCGCTCCTTCCTTGACTTGAACTAATGCTTTCTCGTCCTCACTCTTGACGGCGTTTTCGTGCTTGCGCACCCTCTTGTGGCCGTGAAGGCCGCTGCTGTCATCATGCTCTCGTTTGACACCGATCTTCTTGCTATCCTGCTCCTCGCTCTTAGCCTGGCGGGCGCCCGAGCGCCCCGAGCGTCGTAGATCCATCAGTCACCTCATGGTTTGCAGCTCGCATCTTGGGGGCCCGAGACTGTGGGCGTCTCAGACAGGGGCTGTGACAGACGTACGCGAGAATGAGCGGAAGCTACCGTGAGCCGATGAACGGCAGCAGTGAGGGGGAGTCGGAGGCCATGGATGCCGACGACCGTGAAGACGCTCTGGAGGGCATCAACTGGTACGTTGTTCATCGGAGTGTTGCTGTTCGTCGGAATAGCATTGTCTTGTCCTCGGTTGGCGTGTGAATGGCAGGTCGTCGGCCATGGAGCACGCCGACGAGCCAGGGTATGCTCAGTGCGCGGCACACGCACTGCATATATCGTTGAATAAGTCAGTCGATTTCTGGTGCCCTGTGCCTCTCTTGTCTTTCATAAACTCAGGTGGAGGAGTGTACGCCTGCCCTGGCTCCATCGCAACCGCCCTGGGGCCGACTGGGAGGCCGAGGACGAGAGACAGGTGCATCATATAATCACCGCACATATATTGCCCACGGAAATAAATAGTGAAATACATGTCGCTTTTGTTTCTTCTCTTCTCATTTGCAGCAGCAGCAGCTGCTGCTGCTGCAGCAGGAGCAGGAGCAGGAGCAGGAGGAGCAAGAGACAGCACCGCCTGCTGACGTGGAGGAGCCGACGGAGGCGGCAGCCGCAAGAGCAGGAGCAGGAGGGGAAGAAGGCAGCGAGGAGAGGGCTGGGGCAGCTCGGGAGGAAGAGGAGCACGGCTACTACTTGTCCGTGAGAGAGCCGCCGCCGGGGGAGGAAAGGGAGGCGCTGAGGGCGGAAATCCGGGCGGCCCTCAAAAGGGAAAGGCAGCTGTGCTACGAGGACCCCGCCGCATACTGGGGGAACCCTAGGCCGGACGACATCTCGTCTGCGTTCATGTCGATGGCCGACAGCGACCCCTTCAAGTGGGGCGGGCCTCGGTGGGTCGGCCCCCTCTCTCCCATGCCGCCTCGGCACAGGCCGCCCAGCCCCTCCCCTCGCTCCCCATCCCCGCCCCGCAGCAATCGGCCGGCTGCAGGAGAGCCAGCGGCCCATTCGCGAGAGTCGCCGATCAAGGACAGCTTTGACGCTGACCTCGACATGGACCTGGACGACCAAACGCCATCGCCCCGCAAGCAGACCCGGAGCCGCCTGGATGACGACAAGACGCCGCCGCCTGGGCAGGCGGTCGGTGGACGGGAGGGCGATGAGGAGGAGGGATGGGAGCAGGACGACCCTTCAAGACTCCGCCGCCTTGTCGTGTGCCGGTCATCACGCCGCCCGAGCAGTCGCCGGCCGTCTCCGATGACGAGGAGGACGAGAGCGACGAGGACGACGAGGGCGATGAGAGCGACGGGGGCGATGAGAGCGAGGAGGGCGGGGCGACCGTCATGGCGTGTGTGGCGGCAATCTATGGGTGTGTGGCGGCAGAGCTGCTGCGGGCCGCCCAGCAAGTGTTGTGCTGCTTGGCCATTGACATCATCCGCACTTCCAAGGCCGTCGAGCGGGCCCTTCCACTGCACGACCGTGACGAGGGGGGTGACGAGATGGAGGATCAGCCCCAAGCCGGTGAGGCGCCTGACCAGGCCATGCACCAGGATGATGGCGGCGACCAGCAGCGCCTCGACCCCGCGGGCATCGAGTCGAGTCGGAGAGGGGCCAAGAGGGGCCGCAATGACGACCGTGACGAGGGGGG